ACAGCCGATAAAGGCCCAACAAACAAGGGCCTCCCACCTACAAGAAACCCCCTCAGGCGACCAGCCCAATGCCGAAGTGGGGCCGTTGAAAGCAGAAAACATAGACTCCGGCGCGAATGATGTAGCCAGTTTTCCAGATTATTGGGCCTTTCTCCTGTGACAATATGGGGGGGGGGGGGTTCTTATTTATGTTTTTGGTTTCGGGGTTCCTATAGCCCAGTGGAGCAACCAAGAAGGGACAATGATCTCTTCGCTGCCTAACTGGCACCTTGGCAGACCGTCCGGCTTGCTTGGAGGTTCATGGAGGGTTACAAGTACCCTGAATGAGATTAGTTTATACAACATAGTTGCACTACTTGTAACCTTACCCATAAGCACCCATGAACGTCCAAGTAGGGTTAAGGGCTCGGGTTGTCTTTGCGAGCCCTTCGACCATCCGTCACCTGGATGTAAGGTGGGAGGAACATGCCGAAGCAAGCCACGCAACCCCGATGGGAACGAAATTGTCCATGTCAAGGCTCTCTTAAAACCACAGGGTTCCCCAAGCCCTAAGTACCCCAGGCCAGCCTTCGCCATCCCCTCCCACTTGAGGACAACACCCTTTTCCACAGCGTGCTAGATACTTCGATGACAACAGCTGAAATGCTGGGACCTCAGAAGCAAGATCTCCCGGGTTGTATAACACTTGAATATGAAACTACCCCAACTTCCCATGGCTAAACGGTGAGCCCTTTCTGTGTCTGGGTTCCTTGCAAGTTCCTTTGGGATCCCAGGAGGATCTTCCATGCCGTTAGGTCTCAAGCCCAAGCCCTCGCCTCCGAAGTTCTCAAGGCTCTACCTACCAAAGACCCTGACCCCGACCCTGAATCCTATAAGCCCGATAAACCTTCTCTAAGCAAAATAAATGCCACAAAAGACCTAACCCAACAATCCCACACTCCTAACACCCTACTGAGCTTGGGAGCTCTTGGGGTTTAGGGATCAGGGGCTCACAGTGCTTGTGTTTGTGGGATGAGGTGTTCAGGGAAGAGGGCTTTGAGGGGTTTAGGGTGGGGGGGAAGGGGGGGGGGGAGGGTGATTATCTGGAGACTGCGCTTATGGGGTTTAGGGTTGTGGGGCTTGAGGGGGTTGCCACATTAGAAGTTCGAGGCTCGCAGTTTCCAGGCTGTTTGGGTAAATCCTAAACCCTAATTAAGCCCGAAACCCTAAACCCTAAACCCTAAACCCCATGGGTTTAGGTCTTGGAGCTGCCCGAAACCCCAACGTTCCACGCTCTTTTGCCGGGGCCCGCTTTTGTATAGACAGGCCGGCCGGCTTAAACAGGCAACACATGGCATGACATGATGGGGAGGTCACGAACGGTCTGCTTTAGACATAAGTGTTCTGTCGTAGGAAGCTTTCCTGTGGAAGCACCTTGAAAATCGGTTGCGGGCGTTGGTATCTTGATGGGCCGAGCCTTGAATGTTCAGCAGGTGGGGCACCACTCTCTCTGTGCCCATTGCCATGGTCTGGGTGCCGTGGCAGGGGTTTAGGGGCCAATTGGGTCTTCTCAGATCCACAGGGGTTTAGGGTTTAGGGTTTAGGGTTTAGGGTTTAGGGTTTAGGGCTTAGGGCTTAGGGCTTAGGGCTTAGGGCTTAGGGTTTAGGGTTTAGGGTTTAGGGTTTAGGGTTTAGGGTTTGGGGTTTAGAAATTTAGGGTTTTAGGGTTAGGCGTTCAGGGATCAGGGCTGGGCTCAGGGTAACGAAGCTTCTGGACTTCGCAATGGTGAAAGCAAGGTTGGTAGGGTTAGGCTGCTCACCGGTTGAGGGAAGTGGGGTTTGCGCGCTGGCGATTGGTGAGACAAAGAGGTTGCTGGTCTTGGTGGAATTGACGATTGCGAGGATACATGATGTGTCGGTCCTTTCTACGTACTTACTCTGTGAGCATGAGCCCCCTTTGCCGGGTCAAGGACGAGTCGATCCATGTGTGATATCTGGCCAGATGGGACATGTTGCAGGGTGCTTTCAGGCCTTAGCGCTTCGGCTTTAGACACGGGGCAACTTCAGTTGCAGACCAGCAGCCACCAATCCGCTGGAGCCTTAACGCTGAAGGGGCTAGAACCCAGACTTAAGCCCTTATTTCCTTTTTCTGGGGTTGAGGTTCCCTTTAACATCCCCTTAAAGCCAAAAGGGGCACCCTTTTTATTCCTAGGTTACTCCTGGGTGTAGGGGGCCACCCAGGTCTTGCTCTACATCTTCTGCATCCAGGGAGTTTTGCCGGACTACCGCTGGGACATTGCGCAGTTCTGCACGGCGTCGTCGCTCTGATGTAGCGACAAGCCGTCGCCACATAGGGCAACTGCCCCAGAGGCCTCACGAGGCAGATGTTTAGGGTTTAGGGTTTAGGATTTAGGGTTTAGGGTTTAGGGTATAGGATGCTTGTACTTCATGCATGGGGCTTTGCTGCTGAGACTACAGCCACTGTTTTGAGAAAGCAAAGCAGAGAAGCAAAAGCGAAAGGTCGGACAACCTGAAAAACAATGTTGGGAGCTGGAAACCCGAAACCCTAAACCTTAAACCCTAAACCCTAAACCCTACACCCTAAACCCTAAACCCTAAACCCTACGGCAAGGTTATCTTGAGCCCATGAAGTGGAGGTCGACTGTGAGACCTATGCATTGGGATGTTTCCCCTTATGCGAACAGTCCTTAATAGGGATTGTAGGACCCCTTGTTATAGTCCCTATTTAGGACTGTTAGTATAAGGGGGAGCATCCCATCCTATGTACAAGTACAAAATCCAGAGCTGTAGTTCAAGGGTGTATGCTCCTTCAGTTTGTAGGCGCGTAAGCTGAAAGCAAGCAAGCCTCGTGCCTGCCTTTGGGACATGCGCCAGATATCCCTGACGCCGGAAGGCGAGCGCTTTATGAACACCTCCAAACCCGTTCCGGCGGCAACGCCACATTTTTGCTAGTGTCTAAGCATCGAACCCTCAGGAAGAGCCCGTGGATGTTCGGTGGGGTCTTGCAAGCCAGTGATGTGCAGAAGGGTACCAGTCGCCCTGCTAGTGGGCTAGTCATGACATGTCATGCCTTGGAGTCAGGGGGGCAACCTGGCCAAGCATGGTTTGCATCTTTGGGGGGCTGAAAGTACGTTGCTGTCCCTTTTGCTTGCGATGAACCTGCGAGTTTAAGAGCCAGTTGTCGACATCTGTCGCCATTGTCTCACGTTGCAGCCCGCCCCCTGATGTTGGTCGGAGAGGCGGCAATCCCTTCCCACCAGTATTAAAGCCCCCCCCCCCCTTTACCCTGTTTCAATACCCCCCGTATACTCTAATATAACGATAGTGGGGGATGTCCAATGTTCGGGGCAAGGGGAGGGTTAGTATTAGGAGGAAGGGAGCAAACGGTAAGCAAATCTCTTGATTTGAGGCATTTTGCCTCGAAAGTCGCACTCTGCTTTGAAGGCGCAGGGACCCTGGTGGTCCTCTAGGGCCGTCCGGGTGACCTTATGCTCACCCTAGGAATTGAGTGCGTATCTAAAGACTCAGCTTTCCAGCATGTGGGCAATGCCTCGCGTGAAAAGACTGTCACGCTGCCGTCCCCTAAACCCCAACCCCCAAACCCCAACCCCCAAGCCCTCAACCCTAAACCCAGTCCTAAACCCTAAGCTCCAAACCCTAAACCCCAAACCCCAAACCCCAAACCCCAAACCCTAAACCCTAAACCCTAAACCCCAAACCCCAAACCCCAAACCCCAAACCCCATAACATTGCAGCAAGGGCCTTGGAGCTCCATACCCGAAACAGGCCCTTTGACCCACCAAGCACAACTCCCGAAGAATGCGGAGGCTCCGGGTCCAAACGCCCTCTGAGGGTTTCGGGTTTAGGGTTTTAGGGTTTAGGGTTTAGGGTTTAGAGTTTCGGGTTTAGCTGTGGACCTCCAAGTAGGAATTGGGTTGGGTTCATTGGGTATCCTCAAGCCAGCTGCAATGTAGCCCAAAAGATTTGGACAGACCGGGTGGGACATGTTCTTGACAACTACCCTAAACCCTAAACCCGAAGCCCTAAACCCGAAACCCTAAACCCTAAACCCTAAATCCTAAACCCTGTTTGATAGATCAGCTGGCAAGTTTGCATTCTCTTGCATGGCTTATCTTTCGTTATCTATCGAAAGACACGGTGTGCTTATTCAGTCTGTGTATGCTGTGTGAGCGTTTTATATCTGAGAGGGTCTGTTGTGAGTGCATATCACAAATTCCAGCTGAAATTCTGCAACAGCATTCTCATTTATTTGCAAGCCGCAGATAAAAAATGTTCCACAATTCGGAAGCCACAGATGAGTTATTGATTGCAGGGAACCTTGCATCCTGAGCGCTCAGGGTTTAGGGTTGCGGGCTTAGGGCATGGCATTTGGCAGGTGGGGCTGTGTGGTCATCGACGAGGTGCATCAGGCGAAGAGCCTCGGCTCTCTTTTCTTAACCTACGGCGGGTTTAGGGTTGAGGGTTTAGGGTTGAGGGTTCCTGGTTGGCTTACTTGCAGGTTCATGGGTACTTAGAAGTGGAGTTAGAAGTGCCCTAAAGCAGGTTATAACCATAGCTGCCTTACTCATCACCCGACTGATAAGTACCCATCTAGAGACCAAAATGCACGCGTACATCGAGCGTCTAAACGGCTCCCTACTTGTGAGGGAGGCATAAACCCCACCGAGCCCCTGCTGCTGAGGGCGGCGCGGGAAGCCTACAGACAAAGGGTGCAGACACTAGAACAGGATGCTCGGGGCCAGATTCGATCAGGTGCTGGACCTTGTCTTCCGTATCCCAGACTGGCAGAAGAGACGACGTATGCAGGTTCAAGATGTCTCGTGGACCACACCATACGAAGCTGCAGCGGCAGAAAGACTACATCGGCTGGAAATGCCGACATGCTCTGCAGGGATAGGGGTTCCTGGGGTGTCTGGGCCGCTCCAGTGCAACCTGGCATGAGGAAACACAGCGAGAAGACGCGACGGGGTAGTGCATGCTCACAGGCCAGCGACGTCTGCCGGCGGGTCATGACAGTGTCTGTCGAGATGCGCTTGCTGCGCAGCGGGCCGCGCCTCCAGCCGCTGGTAAGCCCGGCGGCGTCTGTCAATGGAGTGCGCAGCTGCACGGCAGAGCACAACTGCCAGCTTGCTCAAAAGCTCTTGCTTGACCACAGCCGGATCACGCCGGAGAGCCAGGCCAGCCTCGAGCGCGATGCCATGGATGATGGCAGCCGCTTCCTTGTCATAGCCCCCCTGTGCCTCCAGCACAACAGGTTGGAAGCGAATTCCTGCCTGATCACACTTCCTGGCGGTGTCGAGGTGGGAACGCTTGAGGTTGGCGTAAGCAGCAGCCGCTGCTCCAGCCCCGGACGCGGTAGCCCGCCAATGCTTCTCGCCGAGGGCATTGATGACCGCAACATCGAGGGCGAGGGACTGCGGGCAATGTGGCCTGGTGCCATCCGGCAAGCGCTGGAGCAGGAGGCCGGGTCTGCACAAGAAGACGTCCGCTGGGCGGCGGCCGCCTTCAGGGACTGGAAGCTCGCCCAGGAGATTGGGAGCCTCCAACGTGGGGCGTAAGCCACCCAAGTCACAGTAATCATGGAGGACATCCCGGACTGTATGGTGTACCGCAGTGGCATCGCCTCCAGCCATGCAGGAGAGGGCGTGCCGACCCTTGGAGTCCACAGGAAGAGCACAGAAACTGCAGGGATGGTTCCCGTCCATCACGTCGACGCCAAGGCGAAGTGCAGCCATGTAGGTGAACTCCTGCCTCGTGAGGTGAGTGTCAAGCGTGGGGGAAGGAACCACGTGCAGAATCTGCCCTGCGTGTGGAGCCCGAAGGGTGTTCAGGCGGGAAACATCATCAGCTGACGCTCCTTGTTGCCAACGCCACAGGCGGCAGGCGTCCATGCAAGCCGTGACCCTACGTTGGCTGAGGGCCGCGGCATCCCTCGAGGCGGCAATGACCCGGTCGGGCATGCCAGCTGCAATGAGCATGGAGTTGCAGTGCGCCGTGGCAGCCTCGAGAAAGTTTCCTGGATGGTCAGCCTCCCAGCAGAAATCACCCCAGACGGCCTCGCCGAGGGGCTGGGACACGGCCCGTGAAGCAAGGTACGCCGCATCAGCAACGTCCGCGCAGGGGCGGAGGCCGAACCCACCGTCCCGCGTGGCGAGTGTGGCCTGAAGCCACATCTGTTGGGTCAATTCCAGGCCTGCAAGACGTCCAAAGGCTTCCTGGACAGTGTAGTCGAAGTGTGTTAAGGCCGATGAGCAGCACTGCTTCGGAGTGGTGCGGGTGAGGTAAGTCATCCGGGATGCATTGCCGGAGTACCGCAGGAGGTAGTAGGCGCAGTGGGGGTCAGGAAGGTGGCTGATGGCGTCGACGACCTTGGCTTGCTTGAGGGCTGTCTGCAGGCAGAAGTCGCGAGCGAAGTCGAGTTCACCGACAGGCGATTTGAGGATCTCGAAGTTCCCAGCCTCCGTGACTGCACACCCTGCAGCAACAAATGGAGCCCAGTCAACGGTGTGCGCATGCTCGCCAGCGGCCGGCCCAACGAGAAGGGAAGAGAATCGCAACCCAAGTGAAGGCATCACACGCTTGAGGTGGCGCAGGGCACGCAGCACCTCTGGTGCAGGGCCAGCCAACATGCCGTCATCAGCGAAGTTGGGGGCAAGGTCGAGGGCAGCCGGCGGGTTGAGGACAGGCACATTAATGGCCGAGCCACCCGGTGGAGCGATGAGTCCCAGGCTTTCATGAAGCATGCGTTGGACAACCGCATGGCAGGCTGCCATAAGGGGACAGCCCTGTTGGCCTCCAGCCTCGGATGGTATGACACGGTCGCGGTAGAACACCTTGGTTGCCGTGGCTGTGGGATAAATAAACTCAAGCCAGCGAGAGAGGCCTGGGCAAACCTCCCGCATACGAGTCAGGAAGGCATGCCTATCCACTTCATTGTGCGCGTTCCCCTCATCAAAAGTGAGGAGCACCCGCGAGGAGTCAGAGTGGTAGCGCGCCCTCCATTGTCTGGCGAGGTGGGGAAGGATTTCCGCACCGGCCTTTACACCAACAGCGAACTGAAACGGCAGCAGGTGATCGCGAAGTGTCTGGATCTCGGTGGCCAGGAGAGCCTTGCCAACAAGGCGCCGGAAAGCCTCACCCGAACAAACAGGCCTCACATCAGCCCCACCAGTCTTGGAGACCTTGCGGAGCGCAGTACCTCGCGCACCACCGACATATGCCTGCATGTGGGCTGGGGCCTGGCCATCTGCAAGGAGGTTGGCAAAGCCAGTGAGGACGTGAATGAAGGGCGTGTTGGCATCCCCCTCACCTGCTAACTGCCGCAAGAGGTCTGGCCGCAAGCCGCTTGGGCCGGGAGCAGCCCCCCGCTTGAACCCCTAAGTACCCATCTATGGCCACTATGGTCCACAGTTTAGGTGTCGAAACCATGTTGTATGGAATGGGCATGTACAAGCCGACATCGCCAAGTTCTAAGCATCTTAGTTATGTTTTGGGTTCCCCTGCACCAGAAGTTTAGAAGCACTCTCCGGCAAGTGCAAACTTGTCACGCAAATCAGGTGATTCCTAGATCGTTTGGGACGTTTTTACATTACAGGCTCATGCCTGCAGCTTGTGTTGGCGTTTGTCTCTGTGTGTGTGCTTGTCGCTGGCAGAAGGGCCATGCAGTTTGCCTGGGCTCTTCGGGTTTCGGGCCAAAAACTAGCCCTAAACCCTAAACCCTAAACCCTAAACCCTAAACCCTAAACCCTAAACCCTAAACCCTAAACCCTAAACCCTAAACCCTAAACCCTAAACCCTAACCCTTTAGGGCCAAAACTAACCCTAAACCCTGACAGGGTCTCGGACCGGTGCCTTGACGGGGCTTAGACTCAAGCTGATTTGCTCCTGGGACTTTGAACTCGTCGTGCCATCAAGCCACCGACCCTTAACTGGAATGTGTCTTAAAGCCGAAGCACTAAACCCTAACCCCCTACATCCTAAACCCTACTCCCACCCTGAATCCTAAACCCGAATCAAACCCGCAAGGGGGGAGGTATGAAAGCGCATCCTTCGCAAAGGGCTGCGTAACAGAAGGTCCCGAGGTCGCCACCGCCTAAGACCCCTTTAGGCCGGTGGACTTAGGGAATGCCCTTGAGATGTCTGTGTATATATATATATATATGGCCGCGTGCCAATATTAATTGCTTGTAACAGGGCCGCGGCCCGCACACGTGACATACCCCGTTACAGAGGGTATGTATCAACGGCCGGGGTTTTGCGACAGACCTGTTTGTTGTTGTCTGCAGGTTCCAAGTCTTGCTTATCGGGGGGTAAGTGTTCGTAAGTTTCAAGAAGCAAATATATATGTAACACTGAATTTTAAACCCCCTTAAACCCTTAAAGGCTGCGTATGTGGGGTGGTTCTAAGTCTTGCTTATCGGGGGGGGGTAAGTGTTCGTAAGTTTCAAGAAGCAAATATATATATGTAACACTGAATTTCAAACCCCCTTAAACCCTTAAAGGCTGCGTATGTGGGGTGGTTCTAAGTCTTGCTTATCGGGGGGTAAGTGTTCGTAAGGTTCAAGAAGCAAATATATATGTAACACTGAATTTTAAACCCCCTTAAACCCTTAAAGGCTGCGTATGTGGGGTGGTTCTAAGTCTTGCTTATCGGGGGGTAAGTGTTCGTAAGTTTCAAGAAGCAAATACATATGCAACACTGAATTTTAAACCCCCTTAAACCCTTAAAGGCTGCGTATGTGGGGTGGTTCTAAGTCTTGCTTATCGGGGGGTAAGTGTTCGTAAGTTTCAAGAAGCAAATATATATGTAACCCTGAATTTTAAACCCCCTTAAACCCTCAAAGGCTGCGTATGTGGGGTGGTTCTAAGTCTTGCTTATCGGGGGGTAAGTGTTCGTAAATTTCAAGAAGCAAATATATATATGTAACCCTGAATTTTAAACCCCCTTAAACCCTTAAAGGCTGCGTATGTGGGGTGGTTCTAAGTCTTGCTTATCGGGGGGTAAGTGTTCGTAAATTTCAAGAAGCTGTGAGGATTCCAGGTCTTGCTTGTCGCGGCCAACCCCACTCGGTCCTCAACAGGGGGACGCTCCAGGCTTTCGGCAAGACACCCCCGAAGCCTGAAACCCCGAAATTCCCAAGAATCTGTGCTCATGCCTCCCGGCGCGCGACATACCCCGTTACAAGTGCGTTACATACCCGCGACAGACCAAACACAGTCCATTGCGACATCTGCGTAAGCAACGTGCGCCCCAAATAGACGCATTATCGTCCTACCCCAATGCGCCCTGAGACCCTTTTTTAGTGCATGAATATAATATAATAGAATATAATAGAATATAATATCATATAATATAATATAATATAGTAGAATATATATTATAATATAGCATGATACGAACGTGCGCGCGACAGAGGTCTGTAACTAGCCGGGCGTTACAGAGGCGTGTAACAGGTGGGCGCGGGCGCGGGCCGCGACACAGCCATATAATACACATAGTCACATGCACATATATTCCACCCCCCCTATTGTCTGAACGAGGGCCGGGTTCCTAGGATCCCCCAAAATCCCAGGAATCACAAAGGCCAGCTGCACAAGGCGCCAAGCTATTTTGTTTTGTCTCGGCTGGGGGTGGGCGAGGGCACTGGGGGGGAGGGGTTGGGGCTTGGGGTCCCTTTTTGTAGTATCTTGGGGGTGCGCGGACAGGGGGGGGGGGGGGTGTTTAGGGTTTAGGGCTTGGCGATCTGGACTAGAGAGCCTGTCTTTGCTGCTACTCGTACTGGCACCCGAAACCCTAACGCCCTCCAATTCTGAATACAGAGCTGTGGGTTTAGGAAGGACACCACACCAAAATGGTCATGGCATGCACACGGGTGCAGGTTACATGAGCTGCCAAGGAGGGCAGAATCCTGTAAGTTGCTCGCAAGGCAATCGTTGCCTTGAACAGCCCGCGGAAGCTGGGTCTCACGGGCATCCCGGGCACGATTCTAACACTGCGCTGTGGTGTGGCCATCATGGGGTAAGTTTCGAGTTGCAGGCTACAAGCGGGTAGGTTAAGTCGTATCTTCTGGTGTAAAGTCGTATTACGGGCGCGTGCACACTGGGGATTCGCGAGTTCCAAGATTGGTCAGAACCCACTTGCACCCCCAAGCAGAAATCTCATTCACGCTGACAAAATGTGCTCCCTCCCAGGCGTGCGGTGACAAGTGCGTATTTTGCATGTGTGTCGAGAGCATGCGCGTGCGGCGCGTGCACATTGGGGGAAAGGCTTCAACCTATGTCTCTGTGATGCGACTTTACGCGGGGTGATGTGACTTCGCTCGCAGCCGCATGTCACTGGGGAGATGTGACTTCACACGCGAAGATGTGAGTTAACCTACCCGCTTGTACCCTGAATGGCTATCAGGCACTGTTTTGGCATGGCTACCCGCAAAAGGGACCCTTAAAGTGTAGGAAAACCAGCCATCTGTAGCTGCTAGAGAAAGAGGCTAATGGAAGAGCAGCCCAATGTAGATCTCGGCGTAGCAGTGTAGCAGGCATGGCAAGGCAAGATGCAGGGCAGTGGCAACATTGGCAAGTACCTGAGGCAAGCCGTTCAGATGGCCCTTTTTGTTGTGGGTGGTACTCGGATCACCAAACATCACACACGTAGTGGAACCTCCACACTGTGCAACCTAGACCCCAAACACTAAACCCCAACCCCTCACTGAAATGTATAATGAGCTCTATGAAGCCTAGAAGCCGGACTAACATCGGATCTTTTTTTTTGCAAAAACCCAAACCCTAAAGACCACAAACCTAATCCGAAAGTCTAAGCACCTTAACCTTAAGCCTCAAATCCGGAAGCCCCAAGTCGGCGGCCAGGAACTCCCCTTCAGAACTCCTTGAGCGACGCCTGCCAGCTGCGTTTAGGGTTTTTTTCTTGCGGGCTTTTTGGGGTGTACAGGGCTTAGGGCCTCTGGGGACTGAGGTTTATAGAGCTTAGGGTTCGGGGGTCAGGGTTGAGGTAGCCCTCCTTCGCATACGTATGCGGGACAAAGAGGCTGCAAACCCCAAACCCTTTGTTCAAAGGAATTACAGAAACCCTAAACCTTCAGCTTTAACCCGAAAAGTACAACCTGCTGACAGAGGGTGAGATCGGGAAGGGCTAGTTGCAAACCCTCCCGTAAAGCCGCGCACGAACCTCTCTTGTTGGTCTTTCTGTGGGGAGTTTGTAGGTCCCCTATCAAAAGGAACATTCTCGCAAGGCTTTCAAGCTTATTCACCCTTGGCTTGACAGTTCGGGGAGATTGGGGTGGGCCCTCAGCCCCTAAAGACCAGCCCGGCTCACGTTTCGGAAGCACGCACCACCATGCAACCACACAGTTCAGGGTCTATGGGTCTATGGGGGGTTTATGCTTGGGTGCTGAGTATAGGTAACAGGCAACCGTTATCTTTGTTGAGGGTACTACAAACCCTCATAAAACATAGGACCTCTTCACCTGGAACACTCAGCCAGCACATGCACATTGACTGGCGTCCTTTTGAATCAACCTGAGCCCAGCCCCTCATGTTCCAAGGTTTGGACGCTCTTGCGGACGGTGGAAGCTCACGAGGGCTGGGTGCAGGGCCCAAAACGGGGGTGAAGGATGCAGTTTAAACTAGAGTAGGTACCACCGGTGCAGGGCAGCGGAGATGTCGGAGGAAAAGGTCAAGACTGTAGGGCTCCTACTTTAGGGCTTAATGGGTTTCGGCAAGTTGTTATTGGGTGCTTGGCTGGGGATGCAACGCGCGGAACGACAGTGTTCACTCCGCAACCTGTAACAGTGCTCGTATCCTCCAACACACATCTGAATGGTCACATTCAAAGTAAGTAGCCTGGGCTGCAGGCCCTTGTATTGCAGAGGAAAAGCACCGAAATTAACTTATGACAACAAGAGTATCACATTTTCCGTATTGCCCTATTGTGGTAGCCTAGTTTCAGTTCCCTCAACTGGACTGGTAGGTAAACCATCAAATTCTACAGGCCTAAACCCTTCAAGTTGTCTCGGTACCCTGATTCCTAAACCCTAAACCACTGGCGTGCAGCGCGAAAGCCAAGAGTGCCCACGCAGACCTGCAGCGCCCAAAAACGCAAATAGAACTCACAGGTCGATTCAATCGGGATGCGCCCCTCTGAACCTTGAGGGCTTAGCGCTGAAACAGTCTCAAGGGTTTGGGGTTTGGGGTTTAAGGTTTAGGGTTTCGGGTTTAGGGTTTAGGATTGAAACTGGCGACTGGCGTGGGGGGTGTCGCCCCCTGAGGACATTGCAGCGTTTGAGTCTCGCTTCAGCCGGCCGATCGCGAAGCCGGCGCCTGTGCGTTTCTGTTTTTACGCTGGTAGCCCAGTGGTACTGTAGGGGCCTTAATAACTAGAATAGGGTTTTGGGGGGTCATTCGAATACATTTAAACCGGGGCCGTAAGAGAATGCTATTAGTAACTATTCCGACCCTATATTACCCTTTTGCCCCCTTTTTTGTTGGTGTAAGGTTCCCTGACAAAGGCCCAACCCCACATAAATGGTTCCTGGGCTACCCAGGCAAAACTTTCAAGGACATCGCACCTAAACCCATCACATGCGCGGAATTTAGGCATCTGCAAGAGGATGATGAGCTCCAAGCCACATGTGCCCATTCACGCCTGTCAATCGTGAGATGGTATTATTAGCCTTTTGGCCCTTCACGTGCTCCTTCTGCCCCTAAACCCTAAACCCTAAACCCTAAACCCTAAACCTGAGACCTTAAACCCTAACCCTAAACCCTAAACATACCCCTTCTGGGCCTAAACCCCTTCAACTACAGCCCAGGGGGCAGAAGCGCAAAGCCACCGCCAAAGACCTCGCGGTGAGGGAGGAGAGCGGGGCGGAAGGGAGCGACAAACCCTAAACCCTAAACCCTGCACCCTACACCCTAAACCCTAAACCCGAAACCCTAAACCCTAAACCCCAAACCGCAGCTAACTTGTTTCTTGTACAGGACATCGATGGATGGAGGATCATCGACCTAAGGGTTCAAAGCTTCTAGGTCAGGTCATTTGGCAGGGGGCAAAGTAGGAACCCTAAACCCTAAACCCTACACCCTGTAGGATACCCCGAGGCCGCAGACCAAAAACGGGAAGAGGGAGGGGCTCTTGAGGTCGATATTTTTGGAAGATCAGAGCCACCACCCTTCGATGCGGCTCATGGTAGGGTTCTTGGGGTTCAGAGATACCCCCCTCAAGAGCCCAACACCGAATAGTTCATCCCCTGATCATTTTAACATTCCCTTTAAGGCTCATGAGGATCCCTGCTGCAAAAGATGGAGTTCCTTTTGAACTGGGGGGGCATCGGGCTCTCTCTCGCCAGGATGCGCTGAAGGAATTTCAGGAGCTCTTGGCACGGAACTGTCTCAGGAGGACTGCCCTCTGGATATGAGGGTTTAGGGTGTAGGGTTTAGGGTATAGGGATGTTTAGGGTTCGAGTTTCGGACCCAGGTCTATTGGGCTTAACGTTGGCCCAGTCCCCCAATCCCCATCCCCTCGAAACGTGTTCCCATATTCACGTTATCCGCCCGACGCCAAAGCCGGCAAGAGCAGGACGAAAGATGACGTCGCCCTGATGCTTCCTGGCAAGAATGACCGGGCGCGGGGCTTATCCAAAGACTCAGTCAATCTCCAAAGAACTACTTGGAGGTTCCATGCGGTGCTTGTAGGTACTCGAAGGGTTGTTTACGTACCCCGGTTACTTCTAGCCATAGTTATACCCTTCTATATTCCTACTTCTAAGTGCGTATCAGTCTCCGAGCAAGCCACATCGGCTCTAAACCCCCAGAAGCGAAGATACAAATCTCGAAACGAAGGAAGGGCTTCGCCCTAAGCCCTGAACCTCGACAACTGAATTGGTTGCCTCAAGTGCTTGGGGTCAGGGGTTTCATTTGGGGTTTAGGGTGGAGGGTTGTGGGTTCAGGCTTATGGCTTATGGCTTTTGGGCGGGGACTGGACGTCGGTTTGGGTATGGGGACCCTAGAACTTCCAAATTCCCCAAATAAGTCGTCTCAGACCCTGAAGACAGCACCTCGTCCGGCTTCGTCCCGTTGTTTGTGCTGCAAAGTACGGAAACCATGATGATCTTTTTGGTGGTCGAAGCAGGTCGTCCGCGCAGCCTTTCGGCTGCGGAGAAAGTTCAGGGCCCAACAATGTATAGCGCTTCACATCTAGTAGCAGTGCAGAGCTCAGAGACGACGTTGTCACTTGTTGACATTGCTGAGCTGCTTCGAAGGGATCCTGCTTCCAAGCCACTAGGCCCCAGGCCCTTTCCCACAAGTGCCCCTATAACTAATACCTAAACCCTAAACCCCCCAAAACCCTGCAAGACCCCAGCATCACCCTTACCTTGCTCAGGTGGTACCCTGCCCGCTGAGTCACATCCAGCACCATGGATGCTCTTGAGACTTGATGGCTCTCTCACCTCGCTCTGTGCAATCTAAACCCTAAACCCCAAACCCTAAACCCTAAACCCTAAACCCCTTTTTATGTTTATCTATGTTTCACATGTGTCACACAGTTCTTGGAAGTATGCCCTGAAGCCTAAACCCTAAACCCTGGTCTTGTTGCGCACCCCCCCTGACAAGCAACCAAGGCAGACTGCGTACCGCAACCTCCTTGAAAGCGGGGGCCCCAATGCGCTCTGCGCCCTTGAGGTTTCGGGTGGGTTCGGGCCGCAGTTTCAAGGCACCAGTTCCTTGAAGTACCCTTGCAAGCCGCCTTGTGGCAGCCTTATGCAGAGCCATACCTTGGAACTCCCCTCCCGAAAGTGCTCTTAACAGAAGGATCCTATCCTGAACAACGATCCGACCGTGGCTTTCGCTTCCTGCCTTGAAGGTCTCTGGGTAGCCATAAGGCACCTAAAGGCCTAAAGGTTGCAGTCTTGAGGAGTCTGGGCAGCTTGATATGCGTTACAATCATGCCGCATGCCTTGT